AAGATCCTTGTGTATTTCCAAAAGTCTACTTCGTGGTACTTACACTTATTTTCAGTTTTGCAGTTCAACTCAAGTTTACTTAAAAGCGAAAGTTCTTTTCTACACGAAAGGTGGTATACTCTTAAATGTGAAAGGGAGATATTGGCGCGGCCCTCTAATGGATAAGAATTCAAATAGGCGCGTGAAACTTTGAACCGACGTTTCTTTTACCGCCACCTGACACATATTACTGACGTACAGTTGTCATATCACACTTTTGCAGGCGGCGTTTTAGTAACCGATACAATCTCTCTCCTGATTTCTCTCACCCAAAAAAACGGTATAAAGGGTTTTTGATGCTACATATCTCATTACCACTCACAAATACTCTCAATGATTTTTGGTGATCATCATTATCTACTGTTCATCATCTTCATCGTCAAGCACTCATCAATGGCGGGATCTTCTGAAACTCATTCCATCCAAGAACACACAGGGCAATCATCTCTTCTTGCAATCAAGCCCCATCAAAACTTGATTCTCGATCTCGATCCTCTCAAGTACGACAGCTACATGCTGTCGATTGTGGAATGTTTGAAATACTCACCGCTGGTTAAAGCTTTAACCACGTGTGAGATCGTTCCAATGTCTCTTTTATCCAAGGCATACTCATTTGCTTGCTACATCAAAGAAGAACAGAGAATCACGTTTGAAGTTCTCGACAGGAAAACCTATATCACTAAGTCCCGATTTTGCTCCTTGTTAGGGCTTCCTCAGACAGCTGATATGGTAGACCCTGATTCCATCACCATCGCCACTATCATGGAGATGTTAATCATATGGGATACAAAGAAACCCTAATTTCCATCTCAAAGTTTAGGAAACCTAATCTGCGGCCTCAATGGAATGTGCTTTTCACCCTGTTATTCGAGAGCTTCTCTGAGCGTGTGACTGGCTCTGATTGTGCCATCAAACTATTCATGACTATCATCTATAGGATCTACACAAGGGTTATCATTTTTTTTGGGTCTGTTCTTTAGGCACAATTAGTCCAAAGTACTCATTCTACAAACTGACACAGTGAAATTTCTTGTGCTCGTTTATGGACGATTGTTGTTCAACGGGCCATTGAGAAGCTTCAAATTTCAGTGATGCAAGATCCATTCATGTCCACTATCTCGGTCTTCCACACTTCGAATTTCATCATTACTGACAATTCCAAGTTTTCGTTCGTGGGTTCAATTCCTGAAGCCATATTTCGCTCTGTTCTTGCTGCTAGTAAGATAGTTGAGGCTTACAGGAAACTTTCGGTCTCAGGTTTTTGTCCTTTGACTGATGAGATGCGAGCTATAATAGCAGATGCTGATAAACCAAAGAAAGGAGGAAAGAAGAAAGTTGCAAAAGAAGGTACTTCAACATAAGCTACAACCCCCAATAAACGAAAGGGAAAAGTTGGGTCATCTACACCACCTCCTCCTCCACCCAAGAAGCAAAAGACAAAGAGAGCAGCTCGTAAGACCAAATCGCCAACTCCAAGTGAAAGCGAACATTCGCAATCTGACACTCAGTCAGATGTTCACATTGAAGTGGAAGAGCTTGTGCAAAACGAAGATACTACTGCCACTTCCCAACTAGAGGTTTCACAGCCTACTTCTACAAACCCTGAGGTAATCTTTCATATTCCAGTCTCAGTTCCTATTACCGATGACTTCTTTGAGAATGCATCTATTTCCTCTCCTACTGCTTCCACTTCTATTCCGATTACCATCGCACCATATCCACCCCCTGTTACTTCGCAAGTTCCAACCACTCTTGCTTCTTCCATTCCAATGTTCACCGACTCTACTGCTACCACCACCACTACGAAGATGACCAATGAACCTCCTGTTACTACCAACGCATCTGATGCGGGGGCAGGGGCTTCAGGTTTACCTGCTCGTCATTCAACACCACCAACTTCCCCTCTGAGGAAAGATGATTCAGATCCTTTTTCGAGGGAGATGGGTTTGATTTTAGATCTTTTTAGTTCATTCCATTCACTGTTCAGGAAGATAATGATGATGATGCCCCTGTCACTCAATGCCAGTTCAAAGTTATCACCAAGAAGCTCGATTAGCTGATCAATTCTTCTCAAGCTTCATCAAGTGATGCTTATTCTAAGGCAACAGTTGAGGCCTTTTTCCAATCAATGACGAAAGAACATCAGGCCAATCTTGACAAGGCAACTAAGGCAGTTTCTGATTCTACTGCTTTGTGTACTGAGGTGACTGAAAAAGTCGAACTCCTCATTGATGCTCAGGCCTTCATGACTACTTTAAAAAAATGTGATGAGTCCAACACACTTAAGGCAAATGAGGCGATTGTGGGTCTCAACAACACACTGCGAAAAGAGAAAGAAGTTGTCGTGCAAGTTCGCACTGGTCTGTAAAAAGATAATGTTGAGTTTCAATCTGCTATCTCTACAAAGATGACCAAGGTTGCTGATGATCTGGCAGCTAAAAACACCATTATGGATCAACTTGCTGCTCACACCACTGCAGTCAAAGTTTCCACAGCAAAACTTGCCCACACCAACAAAGAAATCAAGGAACTCAAATCTGAGCGAGAAGTTGTAAGAAGCTAGGTTGGTGATTTGAATTCCTTACTCTCCAACATTCTCGATTCTCACGATCCTATTCTTACAATCTCTATTCGAAGGCGGTTAGTTGAGAAGTTTCGTCCTGCTCTCGCCATGCAAAACCGAATTGAGGGTGTTTCGGAGACTCACGTCCTTCCAAAACAAGGGGGAAAAGCATCAAAAAAACCATCTCAGTAAAAGACGAAAGTATCAGGTGAACCGAACGTTAATGTAGCTTCGAGTTCTAAAGGCAAAGAGAAATTGGTAGAAAGTGATGATGAGGAAGAAAACGAAGCAGATATGTTGAAGCGAAAGGCTCGTGATCAGCTCCTTGATGAGAATGCTCGCATTGCGAGAGAGGCAGAAGCAAAGGAAAGAGCAGAACGCGAAGCTCAGGTCACCTTGCAAAGTCGAAAGACTTTGTTTCCACCATGGACCATGGAGCGAATCCTAAATGAGGCCATTGACGATCCGAGTATGCATTGGCTAGAACCAGTTACTTTGTTCGATCTGGAGAATTCGCAGGATTCGTAGTTCGATTTTCCAATAACTCCGAAAGCATTTCCCTTTCCCTGTTTTGATTCAATTGTGAATGCTCCAGCTTCATATACGAATGTTGATAAATCATTGATAGAGTTCTACTTGTCCTAGGGCAAACCTCAATGCCTCACGTGGAGTGCACAGAAGATTACTGCCGTGAAGGTCATAAGGCCAATTGAAACAGGGAGCTTCGTGAACGTTAAATTTAAAACAGCAAGAGGATCCGAAAGTGTTGTTCATGAATTCTCCTTGGCTGACTTACCATGCCTTAATCCGTATGACTGGATCGTTTTGTTGCATTTCCTCCTGAGAGATGAAAAGAAGTACAAACCAGTTTTGGTACACATAAAGTGAATGTTGATTTCATACATCTATGAAGTAGCGAACTTTAATGTTGAAATCACTTTGATACTGAAGAGGAAACCCACTGCTCTCCTTACTGGCAAAACTTGAGACATCAATCAGATACAGATGGGGAAGATTGAAAAAGAGAATTGGACCATGATGTTTCATTTGGTACCGAAGCTAGCTTGAAGAAATGCCTCTTCGCATTTCCTGATAAGCATTTGTTCTCTACAGTTTGCTTAGAGAACTACTAGAAAAACAGCCTTTTACGACGCGCAATGCGTGTCGTAAAACGCTCAGAGGACGCGCAAATGCGCGTCAAGGAAGGCCCTGTCATAACGCGAGACGACACACTTTTGCGCGTCGTCTATAGACGACGCGCATTTACGACACGCATTTATGACACGCAATGCGTATCATTAAAACCCCTGTCAAGAAAGGCCATGTCATAAATGAAGATGACACACATTTTTGCGTATCATAAATTTAAATGTTTAAAAAAAATATATTTATATATTTATTAATTTTTAAATTAAATTTGCATTTAATGTCTCATAATAGAAATAAAATACCATATACAAAAAATACAATCCATTGCATAAAATTTAATGTCATACAATTCTATTTCTTATAATATATAAATTTGCACTCATCTAATCTACTCCGTGTTTCATAGTAACAATTGAAATGAAGAATGCAACACTTGCATTTGCCGCATCTTATCTCTTTCAGCTTGAGCTTTCTTTTCCTCTTCTAACTCCAGAGCTATTCGCTTTCATCAATCCTGTAAACACAACACAAAATCACTTGTCATTTTCATTCTACTTTTAAAATTAATTCTTATTAGGACATTCTACTTTTATACCTACCAATCTAGCAAAATATTCAAAGAATATAATTTATAATTTTTTTATGGAAAGTACATTGCTATTTCTTGAATACAAGCTGTTACAAATCAAGAAACTTACATGTACTGCTGACCACCAGTTTCCTGCATCATCTGAGTATATATGTACCGATCAACTCTCTGCTTTGCCAAAGCAACCTATTTCAAATCAAATTAAAACTAATTTTAATCAAATTTGTATTATAAAAATATTAATATTATTTTGATAAAATATAAGAGATTTTTGCTAATTAAACTTACATAAAATATAAGAGATTTTTGCTAATTTAATAAATTATAAGAATATATTAAACCTGGTCCATTTGGGCTGTGGGATTTTCTATATATTCCAAGATCAGTTCCCTATGTACAAGGACCAAACCAAACCTTAGCATTTGCATCCACTCTCTCGTTTCCATTTAACATAGAGCATTCCTTAAGTGACGTTTCTGCTCCAATCTCATACATATAATTGGCTACTTCTATGTAAGTTTTTAACCCACAAAGTAAGTTTCTGGTTATCAAGCAGCTGCAAACCCATCAGGATCAGGTTACACAATCTCAAACAACAAACAATAATCTACTCATTAATGCCTCACAAACAATAATCATGTACTTGTTTCTCCCAAAAATCTATAATCCCTTCACATATAGTTCTTTCTCAAGAAGTTTCCATTCACAATTTACTACTGGATTTGACAAATTGACTCCTCCTCTACTCATGTCTTTCATCACATCCACTGAAACACAGTCATAACTAGTTTCTTCATCCTTACTGCTTGTTTCATCTTCAGTGCGCGAGGTAACATCCACCTCCATGCTTTTTTCATCACAAACTCGAGTATGTTCAATTTTCCTAGAAACTGCATCAGGTATTGACAACCTTTCCTGTTTTTTAAGGGAAGATTCTTGTTGCTCGTTAGTCACATCTTTTGATTCTTATAACACTGTGGTTTTTTGTTTTGATACCTTGCGCTTCCCTATATTGTCATCATACATAGATTAAACCATCATAACAACTACCAACACATACAAGTTCACATGTAATTAAAACACTTGACAAAACAATCCTCTTTCCCCCTCCAAAAGCTAGCAATGAGAACCAAATATATTTAAAAAAAGAGAAAAACAGGAAAGAGAGAGAGAGAGAGAGAGAGAGAGAGAGAGAGAGAGAGAGAGAGAGAGAGAGAGAGAGAGAGAGAGAAAGAGAGAGACTACTTGCATCTATCGTCTAAAAATGTGTTTTGTGTAATCATCACCTGGATCAGCACCAATCTGGATCTTCTGATCTGAGGCTCTGTTGTGTGTCTCGCTTAAGACATCCAGACAATATGAATGCTTCTTCTCAGTTTGAAACTGCAATAATTGAGATACAATTTCATTTTGAGGGGATAGATAAAGAAATACATACAAATATGAATGACCATCAATTTATTAGTAATCAAAGGGGACAGTTCTCTTCAGCAGAAATATAGTTCCTTTGATGGATCCTAGTGAATCAGTTACTAGGGAATGTGAAATATAGGTTGGATTGGTAAACCTGAAGGTAACAGTCGTCACCCAGACGATAAATGCCTTATCCTTCTAGAACTAACAAACCATGCTGATTATAATGGACTTCCTGCAACAAAAAAAATTATTATAGTTTTTGTTTTTTCAAGACTGTTGAGTTAAATAAACACATTTTAATAAGTAATGTAATGACATACTTTTACATTAAGAAATTTGCTACTAATCCCATTTCTAGACCCTAAAGGAAATAATATTCCAGTAGGATCAAAGGAGAAGACATACACGGCTTTCGATATTAGACGTGACTTCATGTCTTTTATCCCATTAAGAGATTTTAGGACCTGTAACATGAAACCAGTGAAAGTTGTTTCTCAAAAACCTCATAAGTAAAAGTAAGTTAATCTTTCATAATAAGCTTCAAGCCTTGAACTCATGTTAGTTGTATCAAAAAATTATGTAGCACTTTCCAGTCTATCTAATCTAATCATATAGAATCTATTAGATGCGTATTATTGGAATAACGAATTCACTATCTATACATAAAGAATGCATCTACTTTGAGACATGTAACACTTAAAAAATCATGCAAGTACTTCAAAACATGTAAACTAGAATAACACTGACCCTTCCTTCATGAGATTGAAAGGAAGCCAACACAGTATATAACTCCACAAAATTAACAAGATAGGTTGGATCACATGTAATTTCAATCGGCTCAAGCAAAATCTAAAAACAAAGTTAAGGTTCATTGTCATTATCAGAAGTTTATAGCACAAGATATTTATAAAAAAATGCAAGTTGGGTAACTCCCATATCATGCATTCCACAAGATTCTTAACACCGTTGATTGATGCAGTAACAACATCAGATTCCTCCCAAATCATGCACTCCACAAGATTCTCCACAAAAACCAGTTCACCAATAGCACAATCCAGATCCCTAGAAAAAAAGAATATAGTCTTAGAAACTACATTACATAAAGATAGTTAGATACGTACCTTAATTACTTCATCTGAAACAACACCAGAAAACTGGCTGGAATCATTTGTACCTCCACCCCCAACATACCACGGGAAAGTCACTTCAACCATCCTTGTGGTTTGCCAGATGTTTGGTCATCATCCATTGACTTGTCAATGGTAGTATATGCTTCACTATTTCCAAAACCAGAAGCTGAATCCACCAACAACTCCTACATGTTCATAGTCTTTAATATAATGTATAAGTAAAAAGCACATGTAATAGATATTACCAACAATGATCATAATCATACCTGATGCTCATGTTCAGCAGCAGACCTGTAACTCAAGATATCTTCTATATCAGATACTTTCTCCATTTGGTCTAACTCCAAAACAATATCATCATCCAGAGGCTGATCATAATTCATATACACCAAATAAATATAATGTTTAAATCAAGAAAACTATATATGTGTAATGACCTCACCTTCTCTTTTCAAAGACATTCCAGTTTCAACTTGTACAACTTAACATATCGTCTTTTTCTGCCTCTGTAAGTAAAAGATTTTTAAGGGTTTAAGATTTCAAGCACTCCATGATGAAAATGCACACAACAAACGGTAGATCATAGATGTTAATCTTGAATAAAGAACAACCTACAGGCGTTCTCCTAGGTATTTCCATGAAGTTTTCTTCATTCTTTTACGAACATTAGATAACACAGAGTTTTGAGCATAATGCCACCATTGTATATGCCACCCCAAAGGTCTATCTGATATAGGTATCCCTATCCCCCAAGAGCGATATCATCCGTATCTAAAAGACCAATGTCCCATCTTTCACAATCTGAAAGTGTAATTAAAAGAGGATAACACCAACATTCCACTTATTTCTCTCTTAGCCGACAGGTGCATAGATAATCATACAAATACAATATTTGTTGCATCATCAAGGGACAAAACCTAAAAGTTACTGACATGTCAGTTGAATGTTGTTATGTATGACATCTGACAAAATACAAGTTAAGAAACTAACCAAGCCAGATAACTCGATATCAACTGAGTATTGTGCTGCATTATTCTCGAGCCTTCCAGACATGTTCACCTGCAAAGTAGTACAACAGTAAAAATCTAACTAATGAATGTGCAGTAGAAAATTGTTATGAGATGATGCATTTAGAGCATGACTTGCATACCGAAAGATTCTCCTCAAAAACCAGTTCACCAATAGCACAATCCAGATCCTAGAAAAATAGAATAAAGTCTTAGAAACTACATTACGTAAAGATAGTTAGATAATTAGATAGATTATACTTATTGCGCAGAGTTGCAGAAATTCGATGTATAGAGCATTTAATGGAGGACAAAAGAAGTCTATCACTTCTAGCAGCATCAAGAACAGGGGAAGGTGCTGGATGAAACTTTTTTGCCTCATAAATGTCCTGTATCATATATATTATATAAAGATGAGATAAAGTGAAATCATTTTTGGATAAATAAAAATAAGCTTAACAGTTAACACACACACACACATACGTACCATAATTACTTCATCTGAAACAACACCAGAAAACTGGCTGGAATCATCTGTCCCTTGTAACACCCATAAAAATTGAGCCAAATTAAAACATTTTAATTCATTTCAAAACCATTAAGTTCATACATCTCGTTTTCAAAATAGTTTATTATCAGAGTTTTCCCCCAGAACCATATCTCATAAATCATAAAACATGAGGAGCGGTACGATCACGCCTTCGCCTTGCTACGATCTCCTGAAGTACCTGAAACATAACACTACAACTGTAAGCCCGAAAGCTTAGTGAGTTACCCCCAAAATACCAACCACACATAATCATACTCATAACATATCACAAATAGAACAGCCACGCACATCGGGTCTACTGTGTGACTGGTCCGCCCGCACCGGGCCTTCAGTCCACCTGGTCCACCCTCCGAGTCTAGTCATATACATCGAGTCTATAGTGTGATTGGTCCGCCCGCATCGGGCCTTCAATTCACCTGGTCCACTATCTGAGTCTACAGTATGACTGGTCCGCCCGCACCGGGCCTTCAATCGGCCTGGTCCACTCTCCGAGCCTCGGCACGTCTGGTCCGCCCTCTTGGGGCCTTCAGCCTATCCGGACCACTCGTTGGGCCTTCGGAACATCCGGTCCGCCCTGGGTATGTTGGCCTACAGCATAAAGCAGGACCCGCCTCAACCCAACCCCAGTCCAACAACCATGTGCACATAAACATATAATCATATACAATCCTCAACCAGACAAACAGTCTAACAGATCACATAGCATATCAATATCCTAACCAGGATTCCGACCTAACCGGTCACTAGCATAACATTACCCTATATCCCGGGTACCGACCTTAACCAGGTCTCTAAAACATACCATCCTAACTACCAGGATGCAAACATAGCAAAGCAATATCATAACAACAACTACCCGGATTCCCATCCGATAAAGGGCCGGCCTTGGTGCCGTAGACCCTGTCGATATAGTGAGGATAACTCACCTTGCGACTGCCGAAATACTGCTGGTACCCTTCTGGCTGCTATCTGACAATCCCCGCACTGCTGCTCCTCTAGCTCCCCGAACTATCAATGCCACAATAACACTTAGCCCAAAACAATATCCTTCTAAGGGTAAATTGACCATTTTACCCTTAACCCAATCTGGTCCATGACTAAGGCCCAACACCATAATATGAAGGGCACAACACTAGGTAAGCTTCTCAAGCCAACTAGTGACCCACTAATGGCCCAATTTGCTACATTGGGTCCAATCCCTTAATGGGCCTCACCCTAAGTCCATAATATATTCCTTGGTCCATATAATATGATTTCTGATGGCCCACTAAGGCCCAAATACCCAAACATGCCCCAAACCACGGCCCAAAAACTCACGATCCATACAGACAGAGTACGCGGGGGCGTACCCCCCATGTACGTTAAGCGTACAGGCAGAATGGTGAGTACGCTGGGCGTACATCACTTTACGCGGGGCGTAAACTCGCTGAACTAAAAGTCCTCATAAGTTCTTAATGGCTTAAGCTCTTAAGCCCAAACTTCAGATCCATCGACCAAACATGCCTAGGATCTACAAAGTCTCAAACTTTATCACTTGGGACGTCCATAAAGCTCTTAACTCAAGGTCTTAATCCATTAAGACCCACATACATCATACATGAGACAACCAAAGCCATTGGGACCTCATTTTTCTCACTCAAGACCTCTCCTAAGGTCTGAAAGGACAGCTAATCTCACTCAAGACATCATACATGAGACAACCAAAGACACTTGGGGCTTTAGGACAAGAAATGATATCAAAACTTCATAACACCAAGATCTACACAAAATAGATGACAAGCAAGAGACTTTATACCTCAAACCTCCTTCCCAGATCTACGAGCTCCAGAAGATGATGCCTTCCCAGATCTACGAGGTCCAGCCACCCAACTCCTTCCTTGACAACTTCCTCTTTTCCTCTACCAAGCTTAAACCACCAAGATGAGCTTTCCAAGGCCAAGATCTCTAAAAATGGAGGTTGGAACGTTCTAGGGTTTCTTCTGAGGTTAGGGAGGCTGATATGGGGGCTAGGGTTGAAGCCATTATGTTCTATATATAGTGGCTCACCCTCAAATTAGGGTTTAAAGACTCTGGACGTACGCTGGGTGTACATCCTGTACGCTGGGTGTACATCCTGTACGTTGGGTGTACGCCCCCAACACTCGCGTTCATTTATCCACTCTACGCTGGGCATAACCTAGCTTACGCTGGGCGTACCCAGCCAATTACACGCATGCACTCCATGCATGCCTAGGACCCCTTTGCCAGATATTTCCTTTAGGGACCATTGTTGACACTATCTTCAAAGTGTCATAACTCCTTTATTCTAAGTCCGCTTCCGACGAACTTTATATCCACGAAAAGGTGGCGAGAAGCCCTATGCTTCTAGCAACACACCCCGACCTGAAACCTTCTCGAATAAAACCCATTGCCCATAAAAGACCGAAACGCCCTTACTCTTGATCTCGGAAGTTCATAAATAAGTACTTTTCGAACGGGGCGTTACAATTCTCCCCCACTTAAATTAGGCTTCGTCCTCGAAGCCTGTGGCAACACAAACTTCCAGATGAGGCTCCTAGTGCCTCTGATCTCAGACCGGCTCAGATTCCCTCAAACATAGGTATCGAACCTCTAAAATCCATCTCTTCCCTTGCAGGGTTCCGATCAACTGCTTCAAGCCGGCCACCGACTTCTTTTCTCTGATGACAACGCTCGTCAACTGAGTGCCACCTGAAGACACTACCTTACTTCTGTCCCACGCATTCATTCGCAACTTGCGAAACTGGATACCACAACACCCACTGAGCCCTTGCCATGGCACTAATCCATCTTCATTCGCCCAAAATTGGAGATAACCCTGATAAATTGCAACTTGGAACGAATCTTGTTCCATCCTCGGGTTCTACCCCTTACGCTCTGTCAGGATACTACATCCCTCAACACTGGTCCAGACTATTCTCGAGTCTGTTTACCTGCTGTCTCGCCTTCCTCTGTCCCAATCTCCAATTGGGAATCCCATACCTTCTCCTCTTCCAAGGAGACCGAAGACATGCATGCGCATCATCCAACATTGCCATAACGGGCATCTCAACGGGCATCCAACCCGTATGTGCTTCCATATACCTGGCACAATCCTAGTGCTTACTACCAAGCACTTTTGATCATCCATTTACTCTGCCGCCTCCCTCTCAGAGGACCCACACTCCTTCCGGAGCTACATACCTTTCCTTTCCAGGAAGTCTACTCCACAACCATAACCGCACCTATAAGTGCCTCTGAGCTAAACTCCACTCTACCGATCCACTAACACATACAGAGTCTTCAGCATGACTGGACCGCCCTTCCAGGCCTCCAGCCTATCTGGACCACTCTCAGAACCTTCAGCATGTCTGGACCGCCCTCCGGGGCCTTCAGCCTGTTTGGACCGTTCCCTGAACCTCTGGTCTACTCTGTCATCATGATCAATACTTGGGGCCAGACCATATCGATTACTATTGCACGGTGACATATTCACTCATTCTCCACATACTGATCCACTAACATATACAGAGTCTTCAGCATGACTGGACCGCCTTACCAGGCCTTCAGCCTATCTGGACCACTCCCTGAACCTTCAGCATGTATGGACCGCCCTCCGGGCCTTCAGCTTGTCTGGACCGTTCCCCGAGCCTTCGGCCTGACTGGTACGCCTTCCGGCCTTCAGTCTCTCCGGACCGCTCAAACTATCATACATCATTCCAAACTACCCTTCGAGGGAATCTTTCCCGTACATACTGTTCTAGCCCCCTAGGGGTTCCGAACTCTCGTTCCGATCCCGGAATCCTTTCCATGGCCTAAACCCAGGCCTCACATCAACCACTATCTTTCCTGAACCCATGGTCTGCTCCCTGCCCCCATTAGTCTGTCACTTACTCACACCAGCCCACACTCTTGGCTGACTGAAACACTGTCGAATCCCAAATAGCTAATCATCCTCTAATGCCTGTCGATCCTCCTGAGAATTTTCCAATTCTCCCCACTTAGAGCACTGACTACCAACCACCGGTGACTCAACCGGCATAAATCAATCATCCCCACTCAACATACTCCTCTTATCCACGAACTGATTTCCTCTAAAACGAGCAACTTCCACATAATCACTTCCCGGCATCGCACATCACGAACTCTAGGGGAGTTCGACTCTCCGTTGAACACTTCTCAAATCGCAATTTCTATATCCAACAACAAGACCATACAATCGAATTCTGACCATCAAACCCTTGGATGCTAACCACCTACAACTCCTAGTTACTAACACTCCCAACCAAACCATGAAACACGCAGAACGGCGAATGAAATACAACACTACATAAATAACCAGACAATAACGAAACGAAAACATACCCGCAACCGCATCCGGCTCTGCCCTGACCTCCTCTGCTGTGAGCTGAAAAGCATGCCCTTGAGCCCTCGGAGGCTCCGCTCCACCCTGGCCTCCGCCAGTAATCCTCAAAGTGGCAGGTGCTGGAGCCTGCACCGGTCCTGCAACAAGCTGTGGACAGTTGGCCCTCAAGTGTCCAACCTGATGGCAATGATAGCAAATCCTCATATCCTGCACCGGGGCTGACTGTCGGCAATCCCTCGCATAATTCCCCCCTCTCCCGCACTTGCGGCACGCACCACCGGACCTACAAACTCCGGTATGACCCTTCCCGCACTTCTCACAAGTGCGGCCACTCTGACTGCCCAACCTGGAATCAACGGTCTTGGACCGTTTCGGCACCGGCTGCGACTGCACCGGGGCCTGCCTCTGCTCTTGCAACTGCAAATCAATCTCCAACTCATGCCGCCGGGCGGCCTCCTGCAACTCCAGCAAAGTCTCGCACCTCTGCGTAGACACAAACTGCCTGATATCCCTCTTGAGCATACTCAGATATCGGGACATCTGAGCCTGCTCCGAAGCAAACTCAGGGCAAAACATCGCCCTCTCAGTGAACATCCTGGTGATCTCCGTCACCGTCTCTGAATCCTGCTTCAGCTCCAAGAACTCCTGAGCCAACCTCTCTCTCTCAACTCGCGGAACATAACGGGTACTGAACATCTCCCGGAACTGATCCCACGTAACCGCAGCCCGCTGCGCATCAGAATAAGATCCCGTAGTCAACCTCCACCAATCCTTCGCCCCGAGCCTCAAAAGGTTCAGAGCACACCTCACCCTCTGATCTGCGGGGCATGAACACGTGAAGAAACAACCCTCCACGTCTGACAACCATCTCATAGTAATGATAGGATCCTGAACTCCATCAAAGGTAGGGGGCTTCGTGTTATCGAAGTCCAGATACTGAAAACCTCGATCGGTTCCTCCCCCTGCCGCTGCTACAGCCGTTGTAGCTGCCGCGGCAGCCGTCTCAGTAAGAGCTCAATAACGATCATCGAAGTAATCTCTCATAGCGGACTTGATAGTCCCAAACAACTCCGGGATCTGACCCCGGACAATCTCGACCACCTCCTTGCGGATGATCTCCCTGACCCGATCCTCTGTCAACATTGGCCCCTCCTGGCCGATAATCTCAGGTGCCACTGGGCCCTCCGGCTCACCCTGTCCTGATCCCGATACGGATCCAGTCACAACACGCCTCGTAATCGCCATACTGCAATACACCAACAAGACCCTTAGACACATCACATATCCACCCGATGAACTATCTCATAACCAATACCCTAGAGAGTTGTGACTTCCTTGATACGCATATGGGTCCTGTGCTTTCAGTAGTACGGGCCCATACTACCTTCCACACCTACCCATATTTGTCTCAAGTATCACCACAACACTCTAACCATACATACACACACCCAATCAATCCTCGCTCCTAGAGGGAAAGCCGCATATCTCATATAAGGAAAACCCTAGGCTAATAGGCATCACATAATCATGCAATTCTATCATGCAATTCCTGAAGATCCCTAGCCTAGTACTAGCATGCTGTTCTAACATATCACATAATCAAATAACTTTCATGGTATTTTGGGGTCTACTTACTGGCTCTGGCTGATCGTACCCTCTGCATCCTCCTTTCCTTATTTCAAAAACCTTTTGAAAACCATTTTGAAAATCCCTCCTTGATTTAAGGCTAGATTCATACGAATGTTCCTCCAATTCACTCAAACCAAGGCTCTGATACCAACTTGTAACACCCATAAAAATTGAGCCAAATTAAAACATTTTAATTCATTTCAAAACCATTAAGTTCATATATCTCGTTTTCAAAATAGTTTATTATCAGAGTTTTCCCCCATAACCATATCTCATAAATCATAAAACATGAGGAGCGGTACGATCACGCCTTTGCCTTGCCACGATCTCCTGAAGTACCTGGAACATAACACTACAACTGTAAGCCCGAAAGCTTAGTGAGTTACCCCCAAAATACAAACCACACATAATCATACTCATAACATATCACAAATAGAACAGCCACGCACATCGGGTCTACTGTGTGACTGGTCCGCCCGCACCGGGCCTTCAGTCCACCTGGTCCACCCTCCGAGTCTAGTCATATACATCGAGTCTACAGTGTGATTGGTCCGCCCGCACCGGGCCTTCAATCCACCTGGTCCACTCTCTCAGTCTACAGTATAACTGGTCCGCCCGCACCCGGCCTTCAGTCGGCCTGGTCCACTCTCCGAGCCTCGGCACGTCTGGTCCGCCCTCTTGGGGCCTTCAGCCTATCCAGACCGCTCGCTGGGCCTTCGGAACATCCGGTCCGCCCTGGGTATGTTGGCCTACAGCACAAAGCAGGACCCGCCTCAACCCAACCCCAGTCCAACAACCATGTGCACATAAACATATAATCATATACAATCCTCAACCAGACAAACAGTCTAACAGATCACATAGCATATCAATATCCTAACCAGGATTCCGACCTAACCGATCACTAGCATAACATTACCCTATATCCCGGGTACCGACCTTAACCAACTCTCTAACACATACCATCCTAACTACCAGGATGCAAACATAGCAAAGCAATATCATAACAACAACTACCCGGATTCCCATCCGATAAAGGGCCGGCCTTGGTGCCGTAGACCATGTCGATATAATCAGGATAACTCACCTTGCGACTGCCGAAATATTGTTGGTACCCTTTTGGCTGCTATCTGACAATCCCCGCACTGCTGCTCCTCTAGCTCCCCGAACTATCAATGCCACAATAACACTTAGCCCAAAACAATATCCTTCTAAGGGTAAATTGACCATTTTACCCTTAACCCAATCAGGTCCATGAGTAAGGCCCAACACCATAATATGAAGGGCCCAACACTAGGTAAGCTTCTCAAGCCCACTAGTGACCTACTAATGGCCCAATTTGCTACATTGGGCCCAATCCCTTAATGGGCCTCACCCTAAGCCCATAATATATTCCTTGGTCCATATAATATGATTTCTAATGGCCCACTAAGGCCCAAATACCCAAACATGCCCCAAACCACGGCCCAAAAACTCACGATCCATACAGACAGAGTACGCGGGGCGTACCCCCCCATGTACGCTAAGCGTACATGCAGAATGGTGAGTACGCTGGGCGTACATCACTTTACGCGGGGCGTAAAGTCGCTGAACTAAAAGTCCTCATAAGTTCTTAATGGCTTAAGCTCTTAAGCCTAAACTTCAGATCCATCGACCAAACATGCCTAGGATCCATAAAGTCTCAAACTTTATCACTTGGGACGTCCATAAAGCTCTTAACTCAAGGTCTTAATCCATTAAGACCCACCTACATCATACATGAGACAACCAAAGCCATTGGGACCTCATTTTTCTCACTCAAGACCTCTCTTAAGGTCTGAAAGGACAACTAATCTCAACCAACTCACATCATGCATCACTTTGGGGTTTTAGGACAAGAAATGATGTAAAAACTTCATAACACCAAGATCTACACAAAATAGATGACAAGCAAGAGACTTTATACCTCAAAAGGGCTCCAGAAGATGATGCCTTCCCAGATCTACGAGCTCCAGCCACCCAACTCCTTCCTTAACAACTTCCTCTTTTCCTCTACCAAGCTTAAACCACCAAGATGAGCTTTCCAAGGCCAAGATCTCTAAAAATGGAGGTTGGAACGTTCTAGGGTTTCTTCTGAGGTTAGGGAGGCTGATATGGGGGCTAGGGTTGAAGCCATTATGTTCTATATATAGTGGCTCACCCTCAAATTAGGGTTTAAAGACTCTGGACGTACGCTGGGCGTACATCCTGTACGCTAGGCGTACGCCCCCAACACCCGCGTTTATTTATCCACTCTACGCTGGGCGTACCCAGCCAATTACACGCATGCACTCCATGCATGCATAGGACCCCTTTGCCAGATATTTCCTTTAGGGACCATTGTTGACACTATCTTCAAAGTGTCATAACTCCTTTATTCTAAGTCCGCTTCCGACGAACTTTATATCCACGAAAATCTGGTGAGAAGCCCTATGCTTCTAGCAACACACCCCGACCCGAAACCTTCTCGAATAAAACCCATTGCCCATAAAAGACCGAAACGCCCTTACTCTTGATCTTGGAAGTTCATAAATAAGTACTTTTCGAACGGGGCGTTACATACCTTCAGCCCGCAACATACCACGGGAAATCCACTTCAACCATCCTTGTGGTTTTCCAGATGTTTGGTCATCATCCATTGGCTTGTCGATGCTAGTATTTGCTTCACTATTTCCAAAACCAGAAGCTGAATCCACCAAGAACTCCTACATATTCATAGTCTTTAATAAAATGTATAAGTAAAAAGCCCATGCAAATGCAATAGATATTAAAAACAATGATCATAATCATACCTGAAGCTCATGTTCAGCAGCAGACCTGTATCTCAAGATATCTTCTATATCACTATATCAGATACTTTCTCCATTTGGTGTAACTTCAAAACAATTTCATCATCCAGAGGCTGATCATAATTCATATACACCAAATAATGTTTAAATCATTTACACCATATAAATATAACGTTTAAATCAAGAAAACTATATGTGTTATGACTAATGACCTCACCAGCTCTTTTCGAAGACATTCCAGTTTACTGCATTTTTGTATAGGGAAAGCCCTAGAAAGAAGTTTACTGCATTTTTGTAGCTGTGATACAGCTCTTCCATTGATTGGGCTTTGTTGTCTGGATTTTTCAATTTCAAATCTCCATACCTGTGTAAGAGCATAATCATTCAGATGTTTATAAAGTCTTAAAATGCACTTTTGGTTGTAATTTTTCTCTCAGGCATTTCATCATATAGTTGGCAAGCCCTAATTTGAGAAAAACTAAATTATAAGAGATAAATGGAGAAACTACCGACTTGTTCAACGGAAATTGGAATGCAAATAAACCCTTAGTTTGCGAAATTTGACCATAAAACTTATTTTGATCTTCCAGCTTGTGAGAAAGGGGAATTCGAACCTTTGTTTGCGGTGGTGTTGGTGGTCTGATGTAGATGGGGTGTTCGGGGCGGCAACGGTTGGAACTTGGAAGAGTGTATGGTGGTCGTGGTCATCGTGCGGTCTAGCAGATGTGGAGATAACCCATAAATAAAAATCTGTAAAAAAAGGAAAAGGAAATCAAAGAAATACCAAAGTATCCAGACCTGGGTAATTAGAAACCCGAAAATGATGAACATTGGCCAAAAACTCTAACATGGGAAATATAAATCAATGAACCCTTGGCGATCTGAATCTTGAAGAGTTAATACTTGGGTGGCCTTCCATATCACGGTTCCTTGTTTCATCGATGCCTATACATCCGAACAGAACACACTACAAATATGGTGGTGTGAGTGACGACTAGGGTTCTTGAGAGAGAACAAATGATTTTTTGAGAAAGCGTGTGAGAATGTCTTTGAAGATATTGTGGAGAAAAGAATACAGAGAGAAGCAGGTCAAGGAATAGTGCAAGAACGTTGGACCACCGTTCGCCGGAAGTGAAAGGGTAGAACGGCGATGAAAGCACCTACTATTGACGATGACAGATTGAGAAAACTCAATCAATCATGAGATGAAGGCATCAAGATTGTCGATGATCGTAACCTTGGATCTTTGATTGAGAAGTTGCACAACAGTGTGAGGAGAATGAAAGATGCATCAAAACGCTTAGGGCAAAGAGGGTAGCAGGATTTTCTAATTTTTTGGATTTTCTTTTCCCGCTTGTAACTAAGGAACGCACGTTCATTAAAATTATAAAGCGACACTTATAGAGGACGCGCATTTAAGATACAGCGCCCTCCGTGTTTTTTTTTCTTATGACACTAATTTAAGGGCACGCAATAATGCGTGACCTAAATCCTTAAATTTTCTGAAGAGATGACAATTTTTTAATGTCACTATCGTTTGCGTAACATAAATCAATGAGTGTTGTCGTTTGCGCGTCGTAAAAGGCTGTTTTTCTAGTAGTGGAGTTTAATTTGGATATCACAGGCCAATGTAAAATGAATGATGAAGCTGCGAAGAAGAACGTCTCTGATATGATTCGTTGGTACATTGCTTTTCACATGCATCTTCTCGCAGTCATTCCCAAGCTCTTCAAGACCACAAAGAAGACACAGCAGTGAAGAGCCTCTCGCCTCAATGGACGCAAAGGGGGAGATTGTTGGGAATTAATGTTGCGTCATTTATTCTTATTTAATTGTTTATTTATGTAAACGGGCTTGGGCTTGTCCACCCGTCATTTATTAGGGTTAGAGTATTTAAGGTGCATGCATGCACCGTGTTTTTGTTAACTTTTTCAATTATCCTTATAACCCTAATCACGCCTCTACAATAGCAATTCTTAATCTAGTTCTTCTGAGGCCGTGGATTATAATCATTCAACATACTTTGAATCTTTTTCGTGTTCTTGTTCTGAAACTGTTTTGAATCATATCGATCTTTCTAGGATTATTATCCTAACAAGGTTCATGAACTCCTCATAAAGGCTAGAGAGAGGAATTGTCATCAGATTTTTCATGGGAAAATTTCTTCCGATTGAGAGTCAGTCTTTTGATACTTCTTCAGATAGGTGTCATCAAAGGTGACATAGTAGGTCTCTTCGATTCTGCATGATTTATTGTTGAGAACCCGGTATGCCTTCGAAGTCAGAGAATACCCCAAGAAAATTCCTCCGTCAGCCTTCATATCAAATTTGTTCCTTTGTTCTTTTGAATTAAAAATGAAGCACCTGGAACCAAAGACATGAAAGATCTTAACATTACGTTTTCTTTTATTAAGAACTTCATAAGGGGTGATGGAAAATATTTTGTTTAAGTCCTTGAGCTTAGGAGTGGCTTCTGATTTCTGTTTAAGAACATACACCCACGTAAATCTAGAAAAATCATCAACAATAACTAAAATAAATTTTTTACCACCAATGCTTTCGATAGCAGATGGGCCACTGAGATATATATGTAAAAGCTCAAGTGGCTCGATCACTTTTGTGTTTATGACTGTTGAATGACTCTTCGTGCTCTGCTTTCCAAGTTCGCAGGTGGCACAAAGTTGTTCCTTCTCAAATTCAGGAATGGAAGTCCTCGCACATGATCTCCAAGTACGAGTTTATTGATATCTTTGAAGTTGAGATGCGAGATCCTTCGGTGACACAGCCAACTATCATCCGAAGGAGCTTTCGTAAGAAGGAAAATAGTAGGATTTCCTTTGATTTGCTTCATATTTAATGGATACATCATGCCTTTTCGCTTGGACTTTAGTAGCACTGTTTTGGTCTCCTTTTCGATAATTTCCGATCCCTCATCATCAAACGATACTTTCAACCCGGTACCTACAACCAACTGAGATACATTAATTAATTTGTGTTGTAGGCCTTCCACGTAGGCAACCGTTCGAATGGAAAATTCCCCATTCGTGATCATTCCATATCCTTTGATTTCACCGAGTGAGTTATTTCCATATTTGACTCTCACTCCATCCTTCAAGGAATGGTACTCTCTTAACTCTTCTTTTCTTCCCTTCATGTGACGCGAGCAGCCACAATCAATATACCATTCGGAGTCAAACTGCTCGTTATGCATCAACTACAAAAATCGAAGGGATTTAGGAACCCAAAGTTGTTTGGGTCCACGTGAGCTTTTCATAGATACATGAAAGTTTCATCAACCAAGTAAGATCGTTTAATCAAAGTGGAATTATCTCTCTTAGTTATTTTAAAAATGACGATCCTATCATCTTTAGGATTCCATTGAAAAGAAGTTTTTCTATGCTTATCTTTGATTTGTTGCTTGACAATCTTTTTCTCAACCTTCTTTTCCTTTTTCAAGTTTGATTCGGAGTTTTTGAAATGAAATTTTGACTCTGAAAAAAGCTTTCCTTTGCCTTTAAAATCTTTCGATATTTTGGCAGATTAGGAAACATTGGATTTTTGAGAGAAATTAGGCTTTGTTTGCTCAAAAGATTTTTCTTGATTCAAAAAAGGGGGTTTTTGAAAAACTGTTGGATTCGATGAAGGAGTTGACTGAAATTTTGAAAAACTATTAGGATTCGGTTTTGAAATGCTTTCTTTCTTTTAGATTTTTATTGTATCTAGCATTTCTTTGACGTTTCTGAGATACAAATTGCTCAGAAAATTTTTGATAACTAGTCCTAGGTTTCGATTTGTTAACAGGTGTTTCAGCCTGTTCGGACGACGTATCACTTGGAACATTTTTGGTTCTACTCGGACTTCCTTTCTCGTAGCTTGAGTTAACCTTATTCAAAGGTTATGCCACATATCTTCCCTTTGTCTTCCAAGAGGTTATTCCTGAGAGACCTTTGGTATCAACTGTGTTGCCAATAGGGGCTGACCAAAAATATTCGTCGTACCCATCAACGTTGTCTTCTTCTACAAGGGACGATAGTTCTTTGGTCTGATTTTCGTTAAGTCCGGAAGTTGCGAAAACCTGGTTCAGAACTGTTTGAACCTTTGGGAAAATAGTTGCCTTTTCTTTTAAAACTATTGAACCATTTTCATAAATGCAAACGTACTCGACTGAATTTTCAGAAATCAAATTTTTCGCAGATTCAGGTTCACTTTTTATAAATTCTGAACAATCAACCTCATCTTCCACAGGAATCTCACTCATGTCACAATCATCATCAAATTCAGATACATTTTCAACGTCAAGTGTATTTTCTGAACTCAATTTAGTACATAATGAATCAAATTTCTGTAAAGTATCAGATTTAATTAGCTCTTTATCTTTTTCACTCAAAATCTGTTTTAGCTTGTTCTTATGATCTTTGGACTGTATATAAGATTCAATTTTGTCTAGTCCGATCTTGTATGCATCAGAGACTTCGTCAGATGACACGATGGATTTTCTTCCCTATTTCACAATCAATGTGCAGCTGAGTGATATTTGAATAAAGACGTTTAGCAATCAAACAAAAAATACTCCTTTGTATCAAAAGCCCTAAATTGTCTCCTTGCGAATAAATTAAATCATCCCTAGACCTAGATAACTCCAACTCTAACTTCTCAATTCACATCCGCCTCTCCTCACTTTTTGATGTTACCCTGCTGATTTGATCAGTTAAGTTAGTATTACTTAAATGGATTCTCTTTAAACTATCACTTAAACTAGAAGCTGTAAATTTTAAATAATCTAACGCAGTGTTATACCTAGAGAACGGAATATTTAAAGATTCGAGAATAGAATTTACCTTGCTTATCATTCTATCACATTCACTGATCTGCTCTGTGACTGGTTTCGCAACGAAGCAATTGTCCGAAGTATATCCCCTTTTCTCCGAAACATCATCGCCAACCATGAAGCATCTTCCCTCGTACTCCGAAACTCTAGCCTTAGCAATAAAGCACTTGCCATGTGTAGGTCTGCGAACCTCGTCATCCTCCGAGTCAGTTGACCAGACTTCGACTCTTCCAAACTTGTCATCATCTTCCTGCACAATCAAAGCAGGCTTAGCGTTATCAACACTTTTCTTTTTTCTTTAGCTCTTGTATCTTCCGAATATAGTAAGCTTCATCTTTCTCTTCTTCGTCCTTCTTCTCATTGAGTCTTTTCAACATACATTCTTTTGACAAATGATTCTATCCATGATAGTAATTACAGTCATATCCAGAATCTCCTACCAGCTTATTCTCCTTCTTCACCTCCTCCTTTGGTGAGTTGTTAATGCTTTCTTCCTTTTCCTTGTCAGAACTATAACTCCCTTGTCAGTTGCTATTTGTGAAGCGACCAAAGTTCTTCTTTGCAAACTTTATGGGGTTTGACACGATAAGTGCGTATTCCTCCTTTGTGAGTTCGCAATCGGAGAGATCAGACTCTGAACCATGTTCTTCTACAACTATCTTGCCCTTTTCTACCAGGGCCAATGAAGCCATACCAGAAACTATCTTTTCTTCCTTTGTCACTTCATCCTCGTGGGACCTAAGAATCCCCACTAGTTTTGCCAAGGTGTAACTTTTAAACTGTCCGTGTGCTTTAACAGTTGACACCACTGCTTTCCATTCTGACTTTAAGTCGTTCATGAACGTTACCTTTTGTTCAATCAGTTCACATCCTATGTTATGTTTTACCATCCTGCTAAAGATATGGTTGTATCGGTTGAACGTTTGGTCCAATTTTTCCTCAGGCTTCTGGAAAAAGGCTCCAAATTCTGACAGAAGTAACATCTGAATAGAATTCTCAAGACCAACATCACTCTAGTAGAGTTCTTTCAGCCTCTCCCATATGTCTTTCGCTGTATAGCAGGAACTCACCAGATGAAACATGTCTGGAGGCAAAGAAAACCTAGTAATCCT